ATACAAAACACTTCAATTGATAGATAGTCTCTCTCTCTTATTCTATCAAAGGATCTTCTTTCTTTCATTGAGGTTGTCGGGCACTCCATCCAAGAAAGGGAATATCAATCCCTCCTTTTCTCTCCGATCTCTCTAATTATGTACAAGGAAACCATTCTCTCTCATTTTACCTTGATACTTATATTCTCTCTCTCTCTAATTGATCCCATAAAGAAGGAAAGAATGAATGCAAGCTACCTTAATTAGGGATTTGATGATGAATTTCAAGGTAATCTATTTTCCTGGTAGGTCGTTGCACTTAATTTTATGGGCAAATCTTAGATCTTTGTATGCATGCTTGAAAATATCGTAGGTTGTATAAAATCCTATCAATTTCATAGCTTTCAGTGTCAGTATTCCCAAGTTAATTGATATCATAATGCAATCATATTGTGCTGACGAGTTCATTATAGATCACTGATAGCCAAGAAAAATTGTAAAAATCATAAAAGTTCTACACTTCTACTAAAGCAATTGGCCTCCAAATCAATTGCTTTCAAAGATAAAGGATTTGCGCCTTTCACACACAAAAGCTCAACTAAAGTTTACAATTATTATGGTTTAATTAAATGTGATGGAATGGATCGAGATCATTCCATGGAGTGTAAATTTAGTGGTAATGTTCTAGTGGCGGTATTGTGACTTTAGGCGATCAAGACATTAATAAAAGTACACGTTTTAGATATCTTGAATCTATTGTTCAAAGTGATGAAGAAATAGGGTGAACCTTAACATCATAAAAATTTGTTAAAAAAGTACCCCTCAAACTTAAAGGGAAATTCTATAAGATTATGGTGAAACATGCAATGCTTAATGGCGCAAAATGTTGGTCATTAAAAGAGAAGCATAAAGTTAAGTGTTACAAAGATGAAAATGCTCAAATGGATGAGTGGCTTCACTATTAGAGATAGAATGGGAAATGAAAATGTATGTGAAAGGGAGTCTCAATGGCAGATAAGCTTAGGAGAGTCAGCTTAAATGGTTTGGACTTTGGACGAATAAAATGTCGGCCTTCCGATGACCAAGTTAGAAGAGTTGATGTATTGGATTTGGCCTATGTTAAAAAAGATAAAGGTATACCTAAAAAGACTTGACTGAAAATATTAAAAAATAAATTTTTTATTAAATTTAAATGAAATTTTGACTCTTAACAAGACACGATGGAGAGAAATGATTCGTGTAGCTGACCACACATGACATGATGTTGTTGTTGTTGTTTTTGTTGAAGGATCGATATCACTTTAGAAATATATCAGCATATCCAAAACTTCAACGTTTTTTTTTTTTTTTTTTCTAGTAGGCATGCTTGCATTTAAATTTGATGTTCATGTATTATTTCGATACAATCCTTTGTTTGAATCTAGTAAGTCACAACAAATCTTCAAAGACATAAAAACAGGGACACATCCAAAAGTTCTAGATGTCAGAAATAAAAAAGAAAATTAAAACCAAATGATTTAATAAGTGTAAGCCTGACAAGAAAAGTAGTTTAATATAAGTTGTCGTTGTGAGCCCATCATTAGGATGAATCTTAGCATCATGAAAACTTGTAAAAAAAGTTGAATATTTATTTAAATGAAATAAGAAAAGAAAACCAAATGATTTAAATGAAAAATTAGCTAGACAAGTAGTTTAAAGAAACTCATTTCTATGTGCCCACCATTCCTAAATCCTAACAACATAAACAGTTGTAAAGAAGATTGAATATTATCTGCAGAACAACAGAACATTTAGGTAGACTGCTGTTAGACTAGTCCAATGGACTGGTCCAGCCGGTCCACGTGGGACCGGTCCAGGCGCATCGAGGCGGAAACCTCCGCCTCCCGTTTCAGCCACACGCCCGTCGGGTTCAAACAGATCCATTTAGGAAGGATTTTTTAAGGATTTGGGAGTGAAATTTGAATGTAGGGATTGTTTAGAGATTTCCTTTTAATTTGTATGCATTAAATACTTTGTTTTCGTAGGGTTAGGGCATCTTGAATTTGGCTGAAATTTGAGATCTCTTAGATTTAGGTTTTCTTTGGGCTCTAACAGTGTCTAGAGATTTGGGAGAGATCGATCCTCCTCTTGAATAGAGAATCAATTGTATCTTGCTATTTTCCGTTTTCCTTCCATCAAATAATACAAATTATCTACTGTTTTCGTGGTTTTGTGCGGACTTTTGTGAAGTATTCTCGCTGTTTTCCGAAGATTGATAGGAAATACTTGAGATCTACAAGTGTTTCCTATCAAATTGGTATCAAAGCAAGCCTTGGGATCGTTCGTGGGCTGATTCTGGTGAACAGCTGATTTTTGATCGGGAAGGGACGAAGAGCTGTTTGTGTAATCCAAATCGGGAATTTTTGGATTTACAGAAGTTCGGATCGAGATGGCGGCCAAGAAAGTTGATGTGCTAGAAGAAAGGCTTGACGGGGAGATGAACCAAATCAAGACAATAGTGGAGGAAAGGATTTCCTCCAAGGAAGGACAAGTAACCGATCTCCGGGACATGATGAAGAAAGAATGGGAAATCCACAACCAAACGGCGGCTTCCATGACGAAAGAGGAGGAAAGAAAAAACACGAATTCTGAAATTCGTAGGGAGGAAGATGAAGTGGAAATCGTAGAGGGAGAAAGAAGGAAACCCTATCTGGAGTCTTTCCAAAGGGAGGATAAAGGAGGTAGGTATGGGTATGGAGGGACGGAGTAAAGGAGTGTTGATTGGGAATGCCGGGACGGACATTATGGTCGTCGAGGTGATGATTTTGAAGGAAGAAGATGGGAATTTGAAGGGGGTTTGAGCTATGGCAGGGCAAGGGAAAACCGGGAGACGTGGAGTGGGCCGAGCACGTGGGAGAGGAGAAGCTATGGAGGAATAAGGGGGAATGGTGGATATCATAAGGTGTGGAAGTTGAATATGCCTATCTTCGAGAGGGAGGATGCGTATGGGTGGATCTATAAGGTGAAAAGGTACTTTGTCGTTAATGGACTAACAGAGGAGCAGAAACTAACAACAGCAGGCCTATGTTTGGAGGGGAAGGCACTGTCATGGTACAAGTGGAGAGATCAGAGGAGACCTATCAAGAACTGGAGAGAATTCAAGGACTGCATAATAGAACGTTTTCAAACCGACCGGGGAGGAGATTTCTATAAGCAGTTCTTTGCTCTGGCATAGGAGGGATCAGTAGCAGACTACCGGGAACAGTTTGAGCACCTAGCCAGTAGGGTGGAGCGATTATCAGATACGGTATTGGAAGGGAACTTCATGAAGGGGTTGAAGGCAGAGATTCGAGCGGCAGTGAAAGTTCTGATGCCTAGTGACTTGGGGGAGATGTTGGCACAGCTGGTGGAAAATAACAAGAATCTGGAGAAGGGAGCTAGGAGCAGCAGCTCAGGAGGCTCTTACAAGACTACGACAACTCTTCTAGCACCCAAGGGGCCTGCCTCAGGCAACATTAATGAGACCACCAGAGAGAAGCCAGTAGAAGGGAGTGGAGAAAATTTCAAGAGACTAACAGAGAATGAGATGCAGGAGAAGAAGGCAAAGGGGTTGTGTTTTAGGTGCGAGGAGAAGTATACGCCAGGGCATCGGTGCAAGGACCAAACTCTTCAGGTTCTCACCATCTGCGATGACGAGGAAACTGAGGGAGGTGAGGATGAGACAGAGGAGATGGAAGAGAAGCTACACTTGGATCTGGCTGAAGTTTCCCTGAACTCAGTGGTAGGATTCACTACGAATCATACCATGAAGGTGAAGGGGGAGATAGAGGGCAGGGAGGTGGTGGTGCTAATTGATAGTGGGGCTACCCACAATTTCATTTCCACTTAGGTCGTCGACTAATTGGGAGTGAAATTGGTGGACAACGGTTGTTATGGAGTGATGATAGGTATAGGGAAGGTAGAGAAAGGCCAGGGGATCTGTAGAGGAGTGATGTTGACCATCCAAGGGATTCAAGTAAGGGAGGATTTTCTTCCACTAGAATTAGGAAGTATTGATGTCATCCTGGGAATGAAGTGGTTGCAAACCTTAAAGGAAACCAAGGAAAATTGGGGAGCACTCACGATGGAACTAATGGTGGATGGGAGAAAGATGGTTATAAGGGGAGATGCAGGGCTATCCAAAGCCATGGTATCATTAAAGACCATGGTTAAGGGCCTTCAAGAGGTGGGGAAAGATTTTCTGGTTGGACTGCACAAGCTAGATGTGATCAGGAAGGAGGGAAGGGAAATTTTTCTTTCAGGGCAACCCCTAATTCAGCAAATTGGTAAGGATTTTCAGCCACCTCAAGGATGGCCACCTCAACCGGAACACGAGCATATCTCCATCTTGAGGACAAGGTGGATCTTCGGGAGGGGAGTATTGTTAGACCGGTCCAATGGACCGGTTCAGCCGGTCCACGTGGGACAGACCCTCCTGTTTCAGCCGCACGCTCGTCGGGTTCAAACAGAGCCATTTAGGAAGGATCTTTGAGGGATTTGGAAGGGAATTTTGAATGTAGTGATTGTTTAGGGATTTCCTTTTGATTTGTATGTATTAAATACTTTATTTTCCTAGAGTTAGGGCATCTTTAATTTGGCTGAAATTTGAGATCTCTTAGATTTAGGTTTTCTTTGGGCTCTAGCGGCATTTAGAGATTTGGGAGAGATCGATCCTCCTCTCAAATAGAGGATCAATTGTATCTTGCTATTTTCCGTTTTCCTTCCATCAAATAATACAAATTATCTACTATTTTCGTGATTTTGTGCGGACTTTTGTGAAGGATTCTTGCTATTTTCCGAAGATTGATAGGAAATACTTGAGATCTACAAGTTTTTCCTATCAACTGCCTCTAAATATAGACAAATCAATGCTTAAAAAGAGACAAATAATAGCTACAGTTGGAACATTAAGGCATAAAAGCTTATGATATTTGAAGTTTCACACAACTTATCAATAGCTTGCAACAAATTAAATGACATCAAATACACTTGTAAAGACAAACCTCCATGACTTTATCAAGGGCAAGCCTTCGAACCAAAGATGAATGCATTTGCAACCGATGGTTCATCTCCTAAGTTATCATTAAAATCATACATGTAAGTCAGCCCAAAAATATCAAAGCAATTAAGTTAAATTGTAAAAGAAAAATGAAGCTTAAGGTTAGCATGCACTGCATGATAGAAAAATAACAAAAAAAAAAAAGGAAAAACGGTCATAGATTTCGGAAGCTGCGAGATTAGTGAGACATGCTGAATTTTACTTAGTGTATTGTTACCAATTCATTGGTTGTCACAGAAAACTATAAACTGTATAAACATAACGGAGAAGAATGGTATACAGAAATAGCAATATAAAAACTATTTAGTAGAACAAACGCACATAGGCTAAATGCTACAATCAAATATCCGGATGGAAAGCATCTATGTACAGGGCTTAAGGAACAATTATTTCATGATAGATTGTGTTAGATCTCTGGTAAATAAAATTGCATGCGGGACCAACGTGTCCAAACCTTCATAATATTTAGTAAATCCTAACAGAATGCTTCATCCCACTAATAGGCCAAAAACTTCTACAAGTGAATGCATTTGAGCATAGGAAGACTGCAAAAAAATAAATAAATTTATAACGGGTATACATAAAACGATGGAAAGCTTGCTAAAAAAAAAACCGCAAGTCCACATTGTCCATTAGACTGCTAAACATCTTACATAAAACTGACATACAAAATGAAGTTCTTTTACATGCTGACAATGCAATTAAAAAAATAATCAATTTGTTAACAGTAAATAAACTTACAAAGCCAAAGCACTCACCTAAATTTACTAACCTTAGACCATAACGGACAACTCTACCCAATATTCAGCAGTACATTTTAAGAAAAGCCAAATGATGAAATACTATTGGTAAAAAGCATCATCAACAACAGTAATAGCCTTATTCCAACTATTTGGGATCTGCTTTATAAATCCTCATTCTTCATTCATTCCAATTAAGTCTCTCATAAGGTTGTAAATCTATTTTAGGCAAATCTTCTTTACAAAACTTTTATACAAATTATCTTCAATCCACCACTTTTTCTACCTGGTCATTTTACATTAATTTTCTTCTACTTACTTGTTCATCTCTATCATTTATTGTATTTAACCAACAAAACAATAACAATATCAAACCTTTATCCTACTATGTGGGTTCAGCAACATGAATCATTTTTCTCTATTGTATTAAAAATCAAATTCTCATTTAAATCTAATAAAAAAAAGGCATTTCTAATATTTTATAACCAAGTCTTTTTAGATCTACCTCTAACTTTCTTAACATATGACAAATTTAAAACATTTGCTCTCCTAACCAGATCATCGGAAGGCAGACGTTTTATGTAACCAAACCATCTATGATGGCTCTCTATAATCTTATTTTCCATTAGAACTACTCCAACCTTTTCACGCATATACTCGTTTCGCATTATATCTCCAAGTGTAAAACCATTCGTCGAAGTGTAAAACCATTCAACGACCTGAGCATCCTCATCTCTGCAACACTTAATTTATGCTTTTTTTTAATGGCCAACATCTTATAATTTTTTCTCTTAAGCTTGAGTAGTACTTTTCTATCACACAAGAGGCCCAATGCATTCCTCCACTTCAACCATCCAACTTGAATTCTACCGATAATACCCCCATCATTTCACCATCACTTTAAATAATAAACCTAATATATATAAAATGTACACTCATATTAATGACTTGATCATCCAGTATCACAATTCTACTACTATATTTATTACTAGTAAAAATTGCACTCCACATATTTGGTTTTAGATCTACTCAAGTGAAAACCTTTAGACTCTAAGATTGAACTCCATAATTCAAGTTTTCTTTAAACTATCTCTCTCTCTAGTCTTATTAACAATAATAACATCATAAGCAAAAAGCAAACACCATGGTACATCCTCTTGCAAATGTCTAGAATAAAATCAATGACTAAAAAAAAGATATGGGATTAAAGTTGGTCCTTAACGTAATCCAACTAAAATAGGAAAATACTTGGTCAAACAACCTTGTGTTTGAATACAAGTAACAACTTATGTATAAATATCCTTAATGAATTAAAATAAGCATTATTATTATCTCCTTTCTTTTCTAGAACTCTCCAGAGCACGTTTCTTTAAACTTTATCATATCTTTTTCACTAAATCAATAATATCATATGTAGATCCACCTTACTCTCTCTATATACTTCTCCATCAAATCTCTCAACAAATGTATAGCTTTCATAGTAGACCTACCCGGCATGAACCAATTTGATTTTGAGAAACATTAATATCTCACTGTAACATATGCTCAAATACTATCATGATGTTAATGTATGATATCTTAACTTATTTCTCTATAATTCACACTCTTATGCATCACCTTTATTCTTAAAAATAGGAACAAACATGGTCCTCCAAACCACCTAAAATCTATCTTTTAATATGTTATATGTTATGAATGTTACTACCATAACCCTCCTGATATAATCATTTCTCTATCTATCGCGTCTATATTTGCCACATATTCAACATGACATTCTATTTTCTTTTTTTTCAGTTTACTTTGTCTATCAATAATCTCCTTGTTTCCCTAGATTATCCCTACAGCATAATGGTATTAGTTCCTTTGCTATAAAATTTACCAAGTCTCCATGACACCATAGCTAGTGTAATTGCATTTCAATACAAATTACATTTCAGCATCCATGATGTTCTCTTATCACATAGTACTTTACAATCACTTTATCATTTGAATTCCCAAGTCTTCACTCCAAACATGTATAAAAACTTTCTTCTGTATAATAAAGTTAACATACTAAGACATATCGCAACAGTTATCCCATTATCTTCTAATAAAATAGCTTAATAATCAATAGCATCGCACTGATTTAAAATTAAATATCATATGCTCGACTGTAATTCCACTAATCATATGTGATTTATCTTCTAAAAACTTGTCCCCATCTTTCTAACTTTACATTTAAAAGGACTGCAATGAATTAGAATTGTTTGCAGTGCAAAGCTTAAATTGTACATCAAGTAATATATATGGCAAATCCTGTGTCAAATTGTGAATTGTATTCAAAATATGCTTTTTTTCTACTCCGGGACGAAGCCTTGCTATGGCCAGCATAACAGTAAATGAAATGAAGACTGGCATTGTAATCCTTCAACCCGGGGAGTTTTTAAATAAGAAACAAATCAAGGACAACAAAAGCCTTTCCTCGCAAGTCTTGAGTTTCTTAATCAAGAATCTCATACCCCGCTAACCGTTCTCAGCTTTAATAGATCGATTCATTAATGAAAATCAGACCAGTGTACACTGCACATTCAAATGAACACCGGTGGAAAGACAGGCTAAAGCGTAGATAAACGTGACATTAAAGCACAACTTCCTTGCCGCCAGCAGAGAGAGCTTATCCCGAGGAAAAAACATTTTGTGAAATCCACTAGCAAAAGTTCATGATCCCCAGAATAATCTAAAGGCCTGAAAAACACGGATTTTAGCTCAAGGCAAGGAAGGTGAATGAACACTAGAAATTTCTTGGTCATAGACGATGAATATCCTCGCTCCCAACACATGACAGCATTCAAGTCGTCAGGGACAAGACGCGCTAGCAAGAACTAAACACGATTGCGCAAAGCAACCTTTACATCCATCCAAAAAGAAATCCCTCGACGCCAAGAGCAGAATGAAATAGCGCTGGGTGATTGATCACCTGGAGAGAGTCGATGCGCCTGCTCTCCAGATGGTGGTTAATGTTACCGTCAGGATGATTCCAGAAGTCCATTGGAATGCGAGAAAACCGGAGAATCAAAGCTCAAACCCTAAATCTATCTGCTATCCTCGGCCTCCTCGTCCCGCCTGCATCGCCCGCTCTTCCGTTGGTCAGGTCACTCTGAAATAAAATTTGCCGCATTTGCTTTGTTTATTTTATTAATTTAACGCAAAGTCAGTTCGACGGTAGATGAAGGCTTGGCTGCTCTATCCACCTTTCCTTTCACAGAAAAGATAAATTATTTTGTCCGGTCACCAAAGATGTTTAGTGACTAATTACAATGTGTCATGTAATTTTTTTAGGAGATTTGCATATATATCAGTATATATTATTTTATTTACATATATTAATACTTAAAATTTTAATATTACATATATATCACCCATAGTTCACATTCATATCAAATATGAGTGATAGGAAATAGGAATGAAATATATGAGTGGTGGGAATGAAGTATGGATGATATATTTGATATTAAAATAATATAAAGTGGTATGTATGTAAATCCCCCAATTTTTTTCTATATAACATTGTTATGACATGGTATAATTTATCTTTGAACAGTTTGATGGCCGTGCAGAATAATTTCTCCACAGACAGAGCCCCGGCCCACCAGCGCTCTTTTTTTTATTACTTTTGTGTTAGAAAATATGTAATATATTATTTTTAAATATTTTTTTAATTTATTATTTAAATTTTTATCTTTTGAAAATTATAGTTAAAATTGTGATAGAAAAAGAGTTTTAAAAAACATGGGCTGTCTCAAAAGAAACCTACCTTGTAAAATTATGCAAATTACTTATAAAATTAGGAGATAATGCTTAAGTTGTCCATGAAAAAATTACACATAAAATAATATTTTTTTCATCATCATCATTATCTTTAATTCATCAACTTAATTATTAAGGCCTATTTTATAAATCATCATTTTGATATTTTAAGGATATTTTCTTACAAATAATGTTGAATAATTTCAAACAATCTTTTTTTAGGTTAATATTTTAACAATCTTTTTTAAGGATATTTTAAGGTTTATAATTTCAAACAATCTCATAAATTGTTCTTAAAGTAGATATTTGGATGAAAGAGAAAGTACTGCTTTTTGGGTTATTTTTAAGTTTAGCTAGGACTTATATATACTTATATGATTTTATCAAAATATTCAAATGATCTCTCCATTAATTCAATTACATGACACCTAATATTGATTATTTATTATTACCACAATCTTAAATTCTTCTTTTATTCTTAAACATTATCAAAAAAATTTATCAAATCTATTAAATCTAGTACGGGCATTATATTTTGATGATTAAAAATATTATTGAATGATTATTTATTTGTTCCTATTTTATATACATTATCTTGTACTTCTGAGTGACACTAACTATTTCACGTATAACTAGCATCGAATTGAATTGAAGAATCAGAAAGATAATGCAGCGTTAAGGTATAAATTATTTTGTAATAATAGAGTATGTACTTTTCATTTTTCATGATTTATTTTTATATATTAGGTACATGTTGACTAGATAATTAATCGAGCACACACATACAAGGGAGATAAAAATTAAATATTTGAATTTTTGGTTAATCTTATTGTATGATTTATTAATCCAAAAATTAATTATAGTATTTAATTAAATCAAATTAATCAAATTAAACTATAACTAATCGTATTATATGACTAATAGGGGCTATGGGTAAATGCAAATTTGAATTATAACAATGAATGCTTAAGAATCATCTCCCCAAAGCAATGCATAAAATTTTTTTGATATAAATTAGTAAACTTCACTTAATATACGCAAGTATACATGTTGAATCAAATAATAAAGTGATATAATAGAGTGTCGAACCCACAATGAAGTGTGCTTTTTAGCAATCAACTACTATTGTTTATTCAAATCCAATAATTATCCAACTCAATAAAAATGGATATTATGGAGATTCAATAATTTAAATAAAATTAGATAAAGATGATGAATACAATATATAGATATAATATTTTGGACTAATTAATATAAATAACATATTTTCCTAATAAATATCTTTTAATTGTAATTTTATTTTGAGCATGTGTAGGAACAAAGGATGTCCACCAACTTCCTACAGTTATATCATCTCCTTAATGACGGATACAAATTAAATATTCTTGGTCATGACTACTTTCCTCCCTCGAGGCTCCACATTACACCTAATTTTAAATATCATTAGAATGGTTCAATGGATCTCCTCTACACTCATTCTATTTAAATACAAATTTATTTTCATAAACATGAGTCAAATACTCTAATGATGATATAGTGACTTTTCTAAATTTCATTAGTTGTCACCCTAAGGAAAATTAAGATAAACACTATGAATTGTACTAAAATTATCTAAATGACTGAACTCCCTTTACAAACATAATGCAATGATTATTTATAGGAAAATACAAATTAAGCAATTGACACTGTGGTGCTTGAAAGATCAACGTCGTTTGTGCCCAACAATTGAATTAACGACGTTGTGCTACTGCTCTGCCTCCACTACGGGGAAGGGAGTTGTGTGTGACTTTCTATCGAGTCTAACATGGATCAGTTACTTAGTGAACAATCACGTCATTTAGCTGATAGGATGTGTCATTGGGAAGTTACAACTACTACATTGTGGTACTGTTAACTTTCAAAAGATGTGGCACCGAAAGAGCAATTTGGGCGCCGAGGCATTATAGAGTGTGTCACCGTGAAGTTGTCTAACAAAGAAGTTGGCGCTGCAATGTCGATAATCTGGCGCACCATTGGTGTCTTTAATGGCATGCGAAGTTGTTTGTTGTGACGTCGCAAGGTTATATGAAACTTAAAATTTTATGTCTTTTATGTATTTTTTTCCACACAATATAACTAAAATAACACATTTTCATTGAAAATATAACTTAAAAAATAATATATTATTTACACTTATCAACAACTTTCAATTGTATATGACGATCGACTATTCTGATAAACCCCACCGTCGAATTCTATCTTACCAAAATTAGATTATTGTGAAATGATCGTATTGTACAAACATTAATGAATATTGCGTATTGGTCCCATATATTAAGAAATTGAATCATGATTAAATCCTAATAATTACCTCGATTCATCATGAATGATGCTTGATTTGATATGAGTAATTGTACTGTACAATTGTATATTATAGAGGAAGATCTTTGACGGGAATTAAACTAATTAGACAATACAAACCTAGTATCATTTTGTGCAATTAGGGTTAATGAAAATTGAAATTAAAACTTTATTTAAATAGCCAATTTATTTAATTCACATAAGAATTGATGTTCAGTGGACATAGATGTTTTTCTTGGGAGAGAGATTTTTAGAATGATAGGAGTTTCATTGCTTGTAATTGGGTATCCAAACCACCTAAGAGTGAGAATGTGAGGTTGAGGGAGAGCTTTTCTTGAGGGTTTCAAGGAGTGTGAGGGAGACACATGATTTTTCTTGTTAGCCTACACATTGGGTCCTTGTGTTGTGGTTGTGAAGCTCTATGAGAAGAGCTTTGGAAAAACATCTTTGGGTGAAAGACTCACTAGTCGAGGAGGCTAAAGAACAACATCTTCAATTTTGTGAGGAGCAGCAGGAGGGAGTGAAATCTTCATTGTGTGAGGAGCAAAAGAAAGGTTTGGCATCTCTACCATACATAGATAAGAAGGCAGATTTGGCATCTCCATCGTGTCAGGAGGCTAAAGGAGGGAGATTCTTCGGGATCAAATTAGTATTTAAAGGTCATTTCTCACCTCGTAAGGGAGAAGGGTTTCTCTACCTCACTAAATGACAAATAAGCATAAGATATCAATGTCTAAAAGGAGCATCTTCGGAGAACAGACGTAAGTCCATTTCAACCAAACTGCTAAAAAAACATTGTTTGTATTTTTTTTTTTACTTTCCTACATTTAATTTCATGCTTTTTTGGGTTTTACTTTGCTTATCTTTGTGAATTTTATAGCTGGTAAATCTTGGATTCATATATTTCGTAAAATTAAAAAAATAAAAATATATAATTTTTTCCTCAAAGTTAAAAAATAATTTTTTTCTTTATTTCCTTAAATTCTTCACAAATTACTTAGATTTCAACAAAAATCTTTGTAATGAGTATTTGAATTATAAATTGTGATAATAAAATGTATGCTCAATTGAACCTAATTTTACTTTTTTGTAAATGTATGTCCAAACATGATATTAATGAGATGAATCTAGTGGGACTAAAATCTCTAAATTTTGATATTAATAAGGCATTGAAATCCATGAAAAATATTAAATGATAAAAGGAATCCAATATCACCTAATCATCATTTCATGCCCACCATGAGCTTTTGACAACTAATATGGATGTCTGCAATCACCATACCACCACAATATGCCATCATTGACAATCATCATTATCTTGCTACCTTTGTCAACTACTAAATGACACTAGCTAGGAGTATAAAAATGAGTTTTTGGGTCAAGTTTGTGTTCAACCTAATAATGATCCACCATTATCCGTCTTAATTTGAATTCGACTTGATTTGGGAAATGAGTCATATAACCAGACCCGGTTCGAATCCGGGTCGATTTGACACGCCCGCTTACTCGGGCGAGGGTGATCATGAGTGTGACAAAGCAAGTGGAGGCTATAGGCAAACAACGAGAGGGCCCGAGTGAGGGTGAGAGGGTGCGAGTGAGCACTTAAGTGTGACTGTGAGTGTGGCGAGCAACAAAATCGTGAGGCAAGCAAGCGAGAGTGCATGGTGCGTGACGAATGTTGTGCATGGGTTAATGAGATTGGTTTCGGGTTTTAAGGTTTACTTATTCCCTATTCGAATTTACAATCATGTCAGTATTTGAAATTCGAACGAATCCATTTTTCAAACAGGTTGACCCGAACTAAAAAATTTTGGTCGAGGTTTGAATCGGATTTTCGAGTCGTGTCAAATAGTGACACATCTAATTGACACAACACCTACTACACCTTATCATTTCTCAATCATTTTCACTAAACTCACAAAAGTTGAATACTAATATGATTGTAATCAAGCTAAAAAATAATCTATTAAAAATGGTCTAAATAAATGATCTATCATAAAAGACCAAATAAGACCAATCAAGAATAACAAAGTAATCATAAATTGGATTTTAAACTGTAAATTTCATATTTAGAATTTTAATTAACACTTTGGAACATGTAATGGTTTGCTACTGAGTGGATTTTAGTATGAAAAATGAATTAATACATATGGATGACACCTTACTCTATTAATGGGTGCCAACCCTCAATTTTCTTCTTACTTCTTAATTTATAATCTCTTTACCAAATCTCTTCCACATTATCTTCTCATCCCAACCTCTTCCAAAAGCCATTTCTCATTATTCTACACATCTTCATATAATTATAAAAGATCTCTAACAGGCTATGAGTTAAGACTAAGCTCACTGATATAGCTTATCATGTACATAAAAAAAATCAAACTAAAAAATTGACTATAAGAGCTAAGAGTAAAATCTAAGTAAATGATCAAAGAAAATGTCTAATTGCAATATAACAATCAAAAGATTATAATTTAAAATATCTTAAATAAAAATTATATTTTATCATTTTCTATTTTAATTTTCCACCTTGGGATTTATATAGTTAACCATGGCATTATTTTTATCTCTGTAAATTTGTTTTACACAAAGATTCTTAAATATTGACATGAAAATGCTTATTCTCAACATCCTCATAGTATTCTTTAATCATATTGGAAATATTTTGTTAACCAAATAAGTACATTTTCCCTCAAAACTCTAATCTCAATGCATGCCTCATATTGATGGGAACCTTTTTGTTTGTAAATATTTCTCAAAACTAGCCCATCATAACTTTACCTTTTTATCAATCTATTAAAATCCTCAATATTTTTTTAATGCTTTACTCATGAAAGATTTATATTCTATAATTTGTAATTAATAATTATTTAAAATTTTCACTATATATTTCCTTATTTGTATCTCTTATTTTCTTATCTTAATTGTTTTATAGATTTCATTTATTTTCTCCTTTTAATGTCAATATATACTATATAAATCAACATAAATTATTTCTTTTATTTGGGACCCATTATTTGTGGACATTCTAATTTAATTAGTATAAGTCTTATTAGTACTACATTTTGGTCACTTTTATAAAATGGAATTATCTTTAGTAATAACTATTTGTACCTCATCACTAAATCACAAAGTTTTCTATTTCTAAATGATGATATTTTATGAACTTTATTAAAATTTTTATGATAATATTCTTAATTAGAATAGCGACCTTATGCCACATGAGGTTTAGATCGATCAACTAAGAAATTATAATTTGCATGACTTATTAGCAATAAATAATTAAAATGTTAATTTTCAAATATTTTAAATTATATTTCCTTATAATAGGATTATTAGTTTATTTTATTTAATTTATTTATATGCTTAAATAAATAAAGAGAGACAAAGAAAAAAAAAGAAAAAAAAAAGAAATTGTTGTCCGCAAGATTTTATCATGATGATCGAATATGATTTACACTGATAAAAAAATATGGGCATGGGTCCAAACCTTTCTTAGATAGTCAAATTGTTTTATGAAATGGAGTTAAATTATTTACAAATTTGTTTTCCTTTCCTTTAAATTAGCTCCACTTTAATAGATAATTAAGTATTCTTCTTTTTTTTTTTAGGGAATATGTTCATTAGTTTAATATTATATATTAAGTGTGCTGCACTCATTACTTTTACATTTCTTATTCTAGACATACTATTAATTCTCTCATAGCATTGCTATAACACCAAACAAATTTGTTTATTTTATCTCTAATAAATTTAGTTTATTTCTTATGTGTACATTATAGTGATACATCTAAATCTTCTAAAATTAATTATTTAAAATATCTACTAATTCAAATTGAGAAGCATGATATTCATCTCAATATTTATATATTTCATCTCTCTAATCACTAATATTCCAATCTATTACTATTTAATCCTTTATAGTTTAAAATAACACATAATATTTCAACATTCTTGGATTCTACTCTCTATTAAATTATCTCTAAAACATCAACAAATATTTAGGCTTCTTATAATTATTATATCCACAATTGTCCTGCATCATCATTCAATTTTTTTTTTTTGTATAAAAAGTTATTTTTGGAGATGAATATAACCTCCAATTTTTTAAGCTTAAAAAGTGATTGTGAAGCTTAATAAATGAGGATTTTTAACTAGGGAAATCTTTTTTTGGCCAGATGATAACAACCTTCAATGTTAGTGTAAATTTTATAAATTTAATCATTTACTCATTCAATGATAATTTTATCTATAGCAAGGATTGAACTCTACATTTTGGTAAGACATAAAGGTAAGTCCTCTCATAAAATAAGCTTGAATAGTGTAAGAGGTGAGGACCAAGTTTCAAGTTGCTTATTGGCAAATTTAAATTCCTTGATTTATTGAAACCTATTCTTGCGATCAACTATAAATATTTTGTTAACATCACCTATCTCCAAACCTAACAAGAGAACGTCGATATCCATTCATTCAAGCACACATAACTTCTTGATATTTCGTTAAGGTTCTGTCTTTGATTACCTTTATCATCACCATATTTGCCTTTGTGCCCCAGTGAGTGATCATAACTAAAAAACATCTCACATAAAGTGGCCCCAAAGGGGTCAATGAGTTGGTTTATGCTAGGATGAGGGAATACATCATTATGATAAGCTCTATTAAGGCCAATATAGATAACATACATACTTCATCTTTCATTGTCTTTCTTCAACATGAGAAAATTGGTGAGCTAGGTGGAATAGTGCTCATCTCTAATTAAATTAATGGACTAAAATTGAGACATTTGAACTCACCATACAAAGTTTAGAAGGTTAGTGAATCAACTATTGAAAAATTTAAAAAATAATAATAATATGTTGTCCTTTTGTGTTAAAATAATATTCTCCCGATGAGCAATTCAATGTTGTAAATAACTTAAAGTAGTTGAGGTTTGTATAGGTTGTAGGAACTTTATAAAATTCAAATCAAAATTGCTAAATGATAAAAATATAAGCTTTATATTGTTACTGGGCCGGTTAAATAGCCGAAGTAGTATGTCCCCTATTCAATTTAGCAGGTTTAGTGCTCAAACATGTTCATATTCAAGCGAACTTGGGGTCATTGGAATAATCTTTTGGGTATATATTTATGCCAATCAAAGTCCATTTGATTTTTGAAAGTATAAGTCATTGGCTCAACTTATTTGAGCTATTTAACATCTATATTTTGAAACAAAACTGGTATTTACTTTAATGCGTACATTGTAGTCCTATTAATATCTATAATTTATCTTTGAGAATTTTACATACATACCACTTTATATCATCCAATTACATATCTAACACCTAAAATTTTAATATTACATACATACCACCTTATATTATTTTAATATCAAATATACCACTCATGTTTCCTTCCTACCACTTAATATATTTCATTTATACCACCCATATTTGATATGAAATTGAACTATGGGTGGTATGCATGTAATATTAAAGTTTTAGGTGTTAAATATGTAAATATAGTAGTATAAAGTGGTATGCATGTAAATCTCCCTTTATCTTTGTATAGATCATATAAATCATATATGAAATAAATAACCTAAATTTACCTATACTAAAATTAGTTGGTTGGCCTATGAGTTTGTATACTTCATTATTCTATCCAGAGAGAACTATGATCATATCAAATTTTTATTGAAATCCCTTCATAATTAATCACTCTTAACTTGGCTAAAATTTAAGCTAACTACAAAACAACTCGAACAATTATTACGTCCTCCGACCGGACGTAGAGGAACGTCCGGTCGGAGGCCAAATTGCGCCAAAAAATTAGAAATACCGAGCAAATACCGATCAATTCTAAACAATAAAGAGGAATACCATCACGTGAAGACCCAATACCGAGTTATACCGAGTTGTACCGAGTTTTTCCTAGAAAAAACTCGGTACAACTTGGTATTGCTCGGTATAGCTCAGTATAAATCGGTATTGGTCTTCACAGAGCGGTATTCCTCGTTATTATCAATAATACCTAGCAATACCGAGCAAATACCGAATTTTTTGACAGGATTTTACCTCCGACTGGATGTTCCTCTACGTCCTTACACGGGACCTAATAAAAGTTCCTTGGATGCAGCGGGTGGAGCGGCAATGGTGCTTGTTTTTGGTCTGTTTGCATTCATTGATGCAAAATGCGAGAATCTTAAGGGCTGGTTTTTCTACTTCACGGGCCAATACATTTACGTTCGAAACGAAACGCAAACTCCACAACCCTCATATTTTTATATGTAGTTATATACCTTTGTTTTAGTTATTTTCTTCGTCGACGGTAAACAAACCCTCCCTCTCGCCGTTCCCTCTCGCGCCCCGTCCCCAAGGCGAACGTCCTCGTTTCTTGCGATGTTGGGCAAGCTCGGAAGGGGCAGTAACTTTTCCGGTAAGAGGGCCCCCTCTATGCCCGTGCAACTTCACCGGACTGGCGAGACCGGTGGCACACGAAACCCGATCGGAGCGCCTGCGCCGGCGCGGGTCCGCCCCGGTCCTCAAACTGTGGCAGGCGCAGTGCCAGGGCGAGAGGAGACCTTCTCCCTGGAGCCGGGAGAGCTCGACTTCGGCGCCATCATTCGGCTTACGCCTGACATCATCGAGGAGATCAGGCGTCTTGAGGCGCAGGGAGGGTCTGCGAAGATCAAATTCGATGCAAACGCGAACAACGCTGCTGGAAACGTAATGCATAGACGTAATGTTAGGGGTTTGATTTTCATTGAATCTCTTTATTGATGATTTTGCCACTCATGCTTGAGAGAGAGATTTTTCAATTGCATAGGGTATTGGGTTATTTACGGAAACTATTGGAGGTGAATGTTGATATCAGGTGGCTGAGTCAAGGCATCTCTGATTTGGACAATCTGGTGTGATTAGCGAGGGCTGTTCCTAAAATTAGAAATCGTTAGGTATTTATGATTCAGATCACATTTTCTTTGGCTAATGCTTTCGTCAGTGATACTTGAGGGATAACTTTTTAACAGCATATCGTCATTGCAAATGAGGATTTAGGAGGATGGATATGTTCAATCATAAATGACTGTCTACAGCATGCATCAGGCAACCTAAGTAGTCATCCATGTTGAGTAAAAAACTAGGAGAAGATTTTAGTGACGATGTTTATATTTGATGTTGCTCTGTAAACTTCAATACTACGTTCTCCATTACATCAATTATTTGGGGGTTGGGATCACTTCTTGTTTTTTATTTTTAAAAAACATATTTGATTTGTATCTTTCAGCTGTTTTTATCTTTTGCTTTTGAAAAAAAAAAGTTTATTTTTAAGAGCGCTCAATAATTTTTAGTTTTTTTCTTTTCAAATCTTTTTAAAATGAAAATCGCTCCGTCCACCATCGTTGTTGTCGGCCCATGTTCACCGCCACCATCGACCGCTATCACTGCAGGGCATTGCCATCTCATGCAATATTTAATAAAAGAAGAACACTTGTTTAGGATATGAAACATATATTTTTATTTTATATTAAAATGTAAATACGAAAAAAAAAAAAAAAAACATGAAGTGGTCGTAAACAGACTTTTAGTAAATACAAGTGTTCCTGATCTTGACATTGTAGAAGTGCATTGGAGTTTCTTTTAGTAGATAATGTTCATTATGGGAACAAGGTCAAGTATTGGGATGCAGGTATGGCATGCTCGGACAAAAATCCACTGCTCTTCACGGATAAAAATCCACTAATATTACTTCCTAGAGCAGAGGGCTAGTTCTTTTTTCATAGGTGGTCAAGGGAAGTTGCTCCTAGAATTATATTGTGAGAGCACGGCAGATAATTTTTTATGATGAAGTATGAGGAAGGATGAATGATATTCTAATTTCTTAATTAATACCTCTGGTGTAGTTTGACAGATAGTTTACACATGCACATTTCTGCCATATACTTGTATTAGTGCCTACGGAACCTTGATTTAATATAAGCATCTTTAGAACTGTAATGACATTACCTTAGTGACTGGTTTGGTGGGAGGAATGAGGATAGATCTTGGACATGCCGCTGTGCACGTTGGGTATGATCATTAGTTTTTGCTGTAAGATGACAAAGCAAGTTGCTTGTAGGATTTTCATTGTGCAAAAGTTGCATAATGCTGAAGTACAAGGAAAGCAAAATGCCAGGCAAATTTCTGGATTAAATCTTTTTGACTTTTTTTTTTTTAATTTATATTAATATCATATGTATGCTTTCAAAGGACATTCAAAGTGACTTACCATATAGAATACTAATTATTAATTCATTGTTCCAATAAATTAGGCAGCCACTGATATAAGTGGAAAATTAGAACATTGGAGGACTTGTTTTTAGAGGATAAGAGGCTAAGGATTAGGAGAGCTTTTATTATGTGTTATGCAATATTTGATGTGAAAATGATAACTTTGTGCAAATAGTGCTAAAAGATCAAGTGATTCCTAGGTATGAGTGGCATGAGTATATTGTATCTACTATAGAGAATGATGGGTATGTAAATGGGCTTGTAATTTTTAGTGTTAGTATTGGATGCTTAAAATGGAGATATGCCTCATATGTACTAATTGATAAAGGGAAGATCATGAGGATTTAAAAATTGATTTTATATTTTTGCAATTTTACCAACTATATCATTTGGATTTGAATGTTGGGCAAGAAAGACATCATTGATTGTAAAGTTGACTACACTAGAAATGAGAATGCTAAGAAGTGTTTTTGTTAAACTAGAAATGATGGATTGAAAATTGATTGTATGAAAAGTGATTGCTGAAGTAGAACTTATTGAAGATAAGATAGTGTGAATTAGGCTTAGGTGACTTGGGCATATTCAACTGAGGTGGATGATGCGCCAATAAGAGGGATAAGCAAATTTATGTGGAAGGATCTATAAGGAAAAGGTGTAGATCAAAGGCAACATAGATATAACTTGTGCAAAAAGATTTTCACAAAATAAATTTAACACTTTAATTAGCACCCAGCATTAATGAATGGAGCATGAGATATAGCTGACTTTGAATGGTTGGAATTAGTCTAGCTATGATGATGATGGTTACTTGATCAAATACATTTTACATGCCATATGATATATTAATTCTTGTTCTTGCATTATATTTATCTAAGTGCAAAACCTATATATATGTTTATGCCACTATGGTTCAATGACATTTATTAACAAATCCATTGATTTAAGTCGATATTATAAACAGGACATAAATAATTTTCCTTTAAACTATTTGCATTCTACCATGAAATTATTATTCATTATTTCCAGTCATTGGACTTGTAAGATGTTCTTTACTTTTGTTGACTCAGGCTAACAAATATTTTGATTCTACTAATGCACCCAGATGACAATAATTAGAAATTGGCACGCTCCCTAGTTATGACTGAAATGTTAACCTTGACTTGATGCTAACACCCATACCATTACTCCTTTCTTAGAACTCATTGTGTTAAACTCTTGATTCACCTCAGCATAACGGATATCCTGAATGCTAGCAGCAATAGGCACCATACATCAAATAACTATTTTATTGTCACTGCTATGGTATTGATCTTAAAATGAAAATTCTAATATCAATGCTTCACAATTGATATCAATTGTTCTAAAACATCCATTTCCTTACATGCTGATGCAGGATTTAAGTTTACGGCTGTTGTTCTCTTTTGGGATTTAGCTCTCTGTTTATCATCTATTGTGTTCTAATGGATGCTATGCATTTCTTGGATATTAGGTTGTTGAAGTTGGTGGGAAGGAGTTCAGGTTTACATGGTCACAAGAGCTTCCTGGCCTATGTGATATTTATGAGGAGCGTAGAAATGGGGATGATGGTGATGGATTGCTTGTTGAGTGTGGTGCTGCATGGAGAAAGTTGAATGTACAACGAATTTTGGATGAGTCTACAAAAAACCATGTGAAAATGCGGTCTGAGGAGGCTAAGCGAGTCAATAATTCTCGAAAGTATACTATATTTTTAAGTTATCCAATTAAATTCAGTATATTTTATCTAGCTTTTCATTTACACAATTATTTCTTGTTTTTTTTAATAATTTATTAGTTAATTTTTCATGTTCATCGACTGCCTGAGATATCTATGAGATAGACTACTAATATCCGTCAGGCCTGTCAGGTTTTCCACTGGTGCGCTGCAACAAAAATGTGATATTCTCAATCAATATTTTGGTTGAATCTGGTTTATTGTTCCTCAAACATCAAGTGTTTTTTTTTCCCGCAGGGGGGGGGGGGGGGGGGTTAAAAAAAGCAGATGGCGTGGGAAAATTTGTAAGCAGATGCCATGAGAATATATGTAAAATGGATTGTAGTTGGGTCACATTGGTTATATGAATATCTTTAAAAACATTCTTAATTTTGTAGTCAATTTGGGACTTCTTTTTTGAGGAAGTGTTTTGTTTTGTTTTTTTAAAACTTGTTTGAGCTAGCGTCTTTGTTTATATATTTGTGATTTTTATTGAGTCATTGGAGAATGAGGCTTGAAGAACTGCCGTTTTTACCCAAAATGTGTAGCTTAAGTAGCCATAAAATGAAATTTTAATTAATGTTTTACATCTGAGACTTCATTTTCTACTTTATGACAGGGCTATTGTGTTAGATCCAACAAATCCTTCTGTGAAGAGTCAGGCAAAATCTATGGCTGCAGCTGCAGTTGAAGGTAGGCTTTATATCTTTTACTCCAAGTTTATAATTTAGTAAAAGCCACGCTCCACTTTGTTTGCATGAGACTCATTTCTTCGTCTAATTAGAAGGTATCATGCGGTCACTGATGTTGAAAGACATTTACTAACTGAAATTGAATGAAGTGTATATTTAATTTAATGACATTCTATCAGAAATTCGTAATTCATGTGTATCTTATAAATGTATATATTTTATTTTCACGAATTGTGTTCTTCTAAATTAAAAGTTGTAAGAAGCTTACTAAAAATTGGAAGTTAAATTTCAAAATATAAATAGGATATATTATTAAGATAGTTATAAGCTACGACGCACAAACAAGAACATGGCGACACAGACACGACACGACATAGATATGTGACACAACAATTATTGAAAATGTAGGACATGGGCATGGGTTGGATATGGTTTTATAATTTTTATATCTTAAAAATAGTATATAGAAATTGAATAACCAGAATATTAAGAATAATTGAGAAATAGTAAATCATTTAACATTTTAACTAATACATGTGCTTAAAATGATGAATATTAATACATAGAGAGTTGGATGTAGATTTCGTGTCTGACATTGAGAGAGGAGACGATAATGCTAAATTTCATAAAATATTTTAGACGCGAATGTTTGACATGCAGGTCTGATTTATTTTTAATATTTCTTAATTTGACACTTTTTTGGTGTTTTCGACACTTGTCGAATGTGTGTTGGATGCATGTAGTGTATGATATGTGTCAGATATTGCATACTTCTTTGAGGTGATGTGTTGGTACATCATACATTATAAGCATGTATATTCTAAAGCTTTTTTATGCCAATTAAGAATACTCTATAAAATTTGCTTTACAGTTGTGAGTTATGTGCGGACAATATTCCATTCAAATGTTATGTTGAAGTTCACTGCTTTGAACTTGTAGGCTTTGTGATTAATTTATCTAAAATGTCTGCTATCCAGGTAACATGCGGGGAATGGGTTGGAAGCACAAGAAGGAAATGTTATTCAAGAAACCTAAAGTTGAGAACAAGCAAGGAGGTGGACTATTAATCTATGTTTTTTTAACCTTTTGTTCCTGGGACCCCAATTCATTTCAATTTTCTTGCAATTTTCAAGCAATATTTCTCTCTCTTTTTTATTAAAACTTTGATTATGTATGTCAATGATTGTCAAGTTCATTAATAATTTTGTTTGTCTTTGTTTCAGTGGCAGCAGTATCTCAAACTAAGTCAGTTTCCAAATCAGCTATAGTTTCAAATGGTAACTTCAAAGGCATTCCATCACCCATACCATCTCCTCAGCAGCCCCGGCCACGAGCCCTACTGTCTACTTCCGGAACTGGTAATGCACTAAGAGGTGATATGAACACTGGAGAAATCAATCCCACCTTAAATATAAATAAAGAGGAAATTGAAGTTCTTGAAAGAGAAGTGCTTACTAGAGTTTCCCGTGGATCCATGCAAGACATAAATGGGCATGAGGGGGGACAGACTGACCCCTCAATTGATTTGAGAAGCATGTTGATAACATTGCTCACACAAAATCCGAAGGGGATGAGTTTGAAGGTAAAGTTGTCACTCATGTTTGTTAAAAGAGAAGCTTTAATCTATTCAAATTGGCAATATTTTTGGCCACGAAGTCTCACAATTAAGGGGTCATGCCAATTCTTTGAATATACGTGCAATGCAATACTTCGTCAAGCATATCTAGTATTATTGTATAGTTTCTCTTTGAGATTAATTTATTGTATGGATTTCTTTTGATGAGTTAACTTTGTTTATGGCAGTTTTTTCATTGAGTTGCTTTCTATACCACATCACATATCTGTTTAGCTTTTATTTTTATTGTTTTTTCAGAAATTTTTGTTGCGGGAAGCTCTTTTTTACGTCAAATTTTAGCTATAATAAAGCTATTATCTGACTTTTTCAAAAAGAATAATGTTTATAATGACACAATATATTTCAAGAAAGTTGCCACAATAGCTTTGCAAATATCTTCGCAAAAGATTGTTAGAATTACCACGGCGGCTTAAACAAACATGAATAATGTTAGAAATACCGCGACTTCTAGCATTAGACTTGCCCTTCAATAGGTTCTCGTATGACTTAGTCATCTGTTTGTTTGCACGCATGTCAAGATCCTTAGTCCATTTTTTAAGACGGGTTGAATGAGGAACCCATAAGTCATTGTGATCCCACTTGAAAGCGTGCTTGCGTCCCTACACGCAAGCATATGCATCATTTAATGCACACACATTATACCCAAGAAACCTAAAGATGCCCTAATAGCCCCATGCGTGTGTTTGTAGAGGCTTAAGTGTCCAAGTGCCAACATGTGAGTTCGCTTGCTTGTGTACTCTTGCTTGCCAGTTGCACGCCAACTAAAGTATTGGCTTTTGCCGTTAAAGGCATGTGACGTGGGTTGCATTCGTCCCAATCATTTAGATCATCAGCACGGACACCTTGACATGTAGTTCTAAATGGATGATGGACAGAATCTTTTGTAGAGAATTTAAATTTGTGACTGGGCATTGTGCGCAACAGATTAGCCTTTGCTACCACGATCCATTGAGATCTAGCCACGCTTAACACACACATAATGTGTCACCTTCATCTTGCTTGCAGAATTCTCAATAAATGCAAAATTGAGTTTACATCGATATTATACATGTTTTAGAATTTTTTTAACAAGAATAAATTATTGTATTCTGATTGGCTTTTTTGGACACTTATTCTGTATTCATGTCTTATGATGGCCAGGCATTGGAAAAAGCGGTTGGAGAAAGGTTTCCCAACTCTGTGAAAAGGATTGAGATTGTACTGAAAACTGTAAGCTTGGCATAATTTTTGGAGATGTTTAATTTTTTGTCTCAATAAATAAAAGTAATATTTTTGTGATCAGATTGCCATTTTCCAAGCACCAGGAAGGTATTTCTTAAAACAAGGAGGACAAGTAGAAAGCTCTAAAAAATGTTCTGAAGGTGGAAGGTATTCTTACTGTTCTTATAGTCTCACCTTTTTTGTAATTGCAGCTACATTCGCTCGCGCTTATATAAATTTTGTTTCAGACGTCATTTTTCTGCATTTTTGTTCATAAATCCTAGTATCTTCATGTCCTCTTAGCTAATTATGTTAATAGCTCAACAAACTTTGCCAAAGAAGTCTGATGGCTTATTACTTTAGCAAACTTGTTGTCTAAAATATGCCCCTTTGCTTTTCGTCAGACGATAACCATATTTATAGTAAAAATTATTTTTTCTACTTTCTAACCTGAACTTTTCTTGCTGATTCAAGTGTTTTCTGTACTCTAATTGTTTATATTATTAAATTTTGGTTTGATTTATAACTACTTCCAGTGTGGAGATAGTAGTTTCTGCATTCCGACAAAATTTTGCTAGTGAGATCTCACAGTTTTTTGCCTGTATAAATGCATCTAGTAAATATCGATACTCTGATGTAGGACTAAAATGCTTGTAATGATTTTGATAAGAGCATGCACAACTTATTGATTAGAGTAACAACAAGTAGAACTATTAAGAAATAAAACGATGAAACAAAACGTAAGAGCGGTCACTTATGTTTAGGCTAAGTTGCACATCAAGAGTTTTGAATCATCATAATAACATAGGAAATCAAATCAGACAAATGTAATAGCCTTCAACGAAAATCCCTAATCTAACAATGAGATTAGAAACAATGAAGTGCACTCAATTCCCTACGTTTACTAAGCTTGACAGAATTTAGGCAAATGCGATCTTTATAACTAAAATCAAATTACAAAGAAGGGGTTAGACTTTAAGAAATACAAGAAGAGGGAGAGTAGAAAACCTTCGTCAGGGATCGGTTGTAATCCTCCACTCGACGGTTCCAAGTTGCACTTCAATAGCCTCAACCAAGGTATCCAAGATGCGATCTATGTACTCTTCTACGGTGTGGTCGATGCGCGGGTTGACGTCAAAGAAGGTAGAGTGTAAGATGCAAACAAACCCTTGCTCGTTGTAGGAGAGGCCGTAATCAAGCTCCGGATCGGCCATTCATGAATGTTAGATGACAGTCGCTTTCGAAGATCACCAGTAATCTTGGACTCCGTTAAAGAGAAAGAAGTTTCTCTTCAACTTGAAGAGGGGATGGTGAAGTATGACCGGCCAAGGGATGAGGGTTGGGGGAGGAGAAGTAGGTTAAGAAGGGAAGAACAAGTTAAAAATCTGAAATAAATTTCAGATTTCTAATTGGGAGAGATTTAGGAATTAAGTTTGAATTTAATTCCAAGATGGAAGGTGTGTTAATGTGGAGAGAGGGGATTGGAGATAGAGAGAGAGGGGCGGGTAGAGAGAGGGCGCCGGCGGTATGAGGGGATGGGGGAGGCTTTAATGTATTTCCAAAAGGAGAGCTTCTCCTTTAGAAATAAATCAAGTGATAGGGGAATAGGAAAATTCGGCCAAGTAATTAGTGGGGCTTTGGAATAATTTCCTAGAGAGGGTGGGGGAATTAGGAAATAAATCAAGAGGGATTTAATGTACGGGGGCCGGAGGCATCAAGAGAGAAAGGAGGATTAAATGCAAGGATTAATGCTTGCTTAATTTGGGTTTTAGACATAGTTTAAAATTGCACAATTAGAGGAGCGCCTTTGCGCAATTCAGCCCCCAAACGCCTCATTGCCTAAGCAATTTTGGGTTCATGTGAGGCTTACGCCTCACGGGCTAAGAGGCGCCTCTAAGGCGCTATTGCGCAATTAGAGGTGAGGCACACGCCTCTTAAAACCAGGTCCCACCTACTTAAAATTAGGTCTTTTTTCTATTCTTCCATTCGGTTCTAAGCCAACCCGAATGAAATTCTCCCGCAAGCCTCTTCCGTTCGCGAACGTTCCCCGAACCCGACGGGTTGACCCGAATTGACACCCCTAGGAATACTTATCCGGCTCACATAAGAATGTAGCACCTTGTGCGAATGTTCCGGATAACGTGGAGGAAATTTCAACTTATATGAAAAAGAGTACGATGGCCAAACATTTACAATAGGAGCAATTTGATGAAAGGGTCAAACATGGTGCTTACTTTAGGAGCAAGAGTGGAAAGAGCTCTTCCTCCACCATACATAATAGAGATGCACGGGATCCTATGGACCAGTATATGACTATTCCAGGAGAGGATAAAGGACAAGCACAGATGATGCCTGTGGCTGGTACCAGAGAGGGTCGACGGCAGGTTTGTATGGATATTGACAGATTTTTTTTTTGAGAATGTCATGCCATTTAATGTTGCGACATCGCCGGCCTACTTCAATATGTTGTGATCTGTAGGGTTATATGGGAGAGGGTTGAAGGCACATTCCATGTACGAGTTGTGAACATGGATTTTGAAGGAGCTGCAGAACACAGACTCATAGAGCATAGCATTGATGAGATTAAACGGACATGGATTGAGACTAGTGTTACCATTATGTCAGATGGGTGGTCTGACATGAAGAGCGGGAGTTTGATTAATATCCTTGTCAACAATCCTTACGACACTGTGTTTTTACGATCAGTTGAAGCTTCAGATGAGGTTAAAAATGCTAAATTCATTTTCAATTTACTAGATGGGGTTGTTAAGGAGATTGGGGAGCAATTGGTTGTTCAGGTGGTGACTGACAATGCCAGTGCATACAAAGCAGCTGGTTAGATGTTGATGGAGAAGAGGAAACACATATATTGGACCCCCTGCGCAGCACACTGTATCGATCTCATATTGGAGGAACTTGATGATTTATCTCAACACAAGAGCTCTCTTTTTGTAAATGCATAACATTTTAATATGTTATGATTATCATTTTTCTTCTTGAAAATAGTTTAATGATGGATACAATTTGGTGATTCCACCCATGAGTTATATAGTTTTGCTGTTAGAGTTGTGGGCCTCACTTGTTCTTCTTCTGGGTGTGAGCGAAACTGGAGTATATATAGTCAAGTGCAAATAAAGAGAAGAAATTGACTTTCAACACTCAGAATGAACTCCCTTGTGTATATTATGCACAACAAGAGGTTGAGAGAAAGGTGGTTGAGGAACAAGGGATTGAAGGATGATGAGGACCCTTTGGTGTGTGATGATGTGACATCTGATAATGAGTGATTCATAAATGGTGAGACATATTTACCATTATCAGACTTGCAACTAGAGGATCTAAGTGTGGATGTCTTGAGGGGCGAAACAAATCAAGTGGACACATCCACTAGTACCACACCGCACACATCCACTAACTCTGTAGCACAACAACCAAATAAAGGTATTCCACAACTTCTTAAACGATATTATATTATATTTATATCAAGTGGGCAAGTAACATGATAATGATCATTCTTATTGAACATGGAAGAGAAAAGTTATTCACATTGAAGATGATGAAGATATGACATTCATAGATACAATTGGAGAAGAAGATTCTCTTGAAGACCCATTTAGTGATGGGACATGATTGGATTATATATGTTCTTTCTTATTTGTACTTTGGGAGTTTTGATAGACTAATATTTTGTAGTTCTGTGCTTTGGAACATGATTTTATTGCATATATTTTCTTACTTTCCACTAATTTCACTTGTCATTTAGATGTTTTTGTTATATGATAGAATCTTACTATTATTTACTTGCTAAAACCCTTAAATTCTCACGCAATTCTTCGTCTGTGAGGCTTACGCCTCACACCGCCTCGAGGCTTACGCCTCGCCTCACGGATCAAAAATGCCTCGAGGCTTATTTACGCAATTTTAAACCTTGGTTTTAGGAATTATGAAAGAATTTAATTAAATCCAATTTGAATTTGAAATTCAAATAGATTTAATTTAGGAACTTTTCTAAAATAGATTTAGTAATTTAAGAAAGATTTTAAATTTCAAATTGATTGAATTTGAATTCCAAAATATGTCCAAATTATGTCAATCCAAATTAGGCAACATAAAGCAATGAGGAGAGGGGATCTAGGGCCAGCGGGTTGGATGGGCTCGGGTATGGGGCCGGCAGCTAGGTGGGAAGTATGTGGAGTTTGATCGAGTAAAGGGCAAGGGCTTGAGAAGAGAGAAGGCCTTGGGTATGATGCAGCCAGTGGTGGTGGGAGGAGAAATGAAGAGATATGAAATAGAACCACGAACCCCACTCGTTTAGGTTGGTGGGTGATGTGCAATTCTCCCTCTCCTAGGGATCTCTCTCCGATTTCTGAAGCTCTCACAAGAACTCGTGCAAGGGAAAGAAATATTTTAATCAATCATTCATTAACTTGAAAAGAAGAACAATGTGGCTATAAATAGCCTGGTACAAAGACTCACAAAATAAAGGACGACAATGTCCCTAGGGCTTACATACGGCCTCCCTTAATAAAAGGGTATAACGGGAAACTTAATAAAACAAACTAATAAAGTAAATACAATATGACATCAAAAATAAGAAAATACATAAACAACTTAGAAATACAATGACTCAATTGTGGCCGTTGATCAACGGGCACGTCTCTGATAGACTCTTCACGATCTAATGTCCCCATCATACTCTCTATAGAATGTTTTTACGGTCCTCTTGAATGTGTTCTACTTAATTACGATTAATTCTCTGAAGAACTTTTGGACCTATTTTCTTGCTTATTCCTTTTTTAATATTTTGTTCTTATGGCTATGCAAACAGATGTTACTTTTTATTTGGATGATATAAACCGATGTATTCTAAGCTTTTCTTTTGGTTATTTTTGACTAATGATGGCTTGTTTGTTATTGGGTAAGTCTCATGTGATATTAGGGGTTGTTTGGTTTAGTGACATCTATTATGTAATGCTATGTTGTTAGTAGCTTCCAACTGTTTGTTTTTCTGATATGCTTATTATTAGTATTAAGCATTTCAATAACAGTACAGTCCTGTTTCATTGACACTAGTTGCCATCCAAATTGTTGATATCCAAAAAATTATCCAAACATGGCATTTGACCGATGACACTGTACCAAAATCAACAATTGATAGATAACTTTAA